GCATTTTACGAAGGGAAAACTAACGAGACCTACCAGAGCCCTTTTCTTTTCGGACAACAGAGGCCCAAACGAATCCGTTGGTGCGTACATCACTGAGTTGAAGTAGTTAGCCCGATCCTGCAATTTCTGTAAGTGCATGGGTGACGGTTTCCTATGTGCCTGAATCGTTCTAGGAATCGGTGATGTACGACAAAGCGGCTTTTGCGACTGCGCAACTTATCGCCCCAGCAGTGCATCAATCTCTCGACCGCGTATCAATGCCAACAATTTAAACTCGCAACTGATGTAGAATTATGTGCCGTTTCCGGAGGCGAAGCAGCGAAGACTACTAACGTGAGACAGGATAGCTGCAACTTTTGCGCCGCGCGACACCCGAGCACCCGCGAACAGTGTCTGGTGTGGGGACAAAAATGCGCCAAATGTGGAAAAAGGAACCACTTTGCTCCTTGCTGCCTGACAACTAATGTGACGATTCAACCACAGACGTAGCATGTTCAATTGGCAACGGGTCTCGGAACGTATCAGAAAATGTATTTACGCAATTCTTTTGGTCGAAGGCAAAGCCGTACCGTTCCAGTTAGACACGGGTGCTGCTGTAAACATTCTACCAAGGAAACAGCTGTCCCGGGGTGTACATCCGATCCGATCAAGATTACCTGCGCATGTGCAATGATTCCAGACTTCGTCCGAAAGACTGAGTTACGATCGAATTGGTCAACCCAAGAGACGGAGCCTAACATCGACTTGGAGTTTGTGGTCGTGGATGACGAGCTCACGCCGATTCTCGGCATTAATTCCATCCAGCCTCTCGGTTTTGTTGTTTTTAATCATTATAGTTTCCTGCACGCTTGTCAAGGCGAAACCGATATTAGTAACCATTATCCGTTTGTGTTTAGCCCGGGTTTGGGAAAATTTGTGAGAACCGGTCAATTGATCATGCCTCGTCTAGTGTGCCTCGATGAATTCGAGAATAAAATATTTATTTATTTGTCCTTTGATACGACCGACTGCGCTACCTGTCAGGAGAGTCTCATTTGTACCGCGTGACAGATTCTGCGCTGAGTTGATGAAATTATTGAGGGTGGGTGTGATTGCCTAATTTGACAAGCCAGCCGAATGGGTTAGTCAGGTCGCAATCATTACGAAGAAGACGAGTGAACTGCGCGTGTGTATTGACCACAAACTGTTGAATGAAGCCATGCGTAGAAAGCATTATTGGCTACCGACATTTCGTCGCGCCTGGTCAAGGCTGAGTATATCACGACGATAGACCTGTCATTCGCATTCTGACACGTGATTCTTGATGAAGAATCCAGTTTTCTTACTACCTGTGCAACACCGTTCGGGAGTGATTGTTGGATGTTTTCCACTTGGTTTGAAGCTTCCGAGTGTAATTTTCCAAAATCGATTATCGCAAGCGGTAGACGACTTAGATGGTGTGACATGTGGGGCAGACGATGTTTTGCTCTACTATTCGACGGAAGAAGATCATGTCGCCAATCTCCACAGTTTGCAGCGTTGTGTGCTAAAGAACATCAGGCCTTGACGCGAGACAATTGAGCTCCGGAAAGACGATGTACTTTTCCATGGGCATATGTTAACCACCTAAGGGATCCGGAAGAATTAAGGCAATACAAGAGATGCCGCACCCTAACGACGGGAAGGGGATCCATCATTTAAGCGGCATGGTGAATTATTTGGGCCGTTTTATGCCTACGCTCGTGGATGTCATGACGCCGATCAAGAAGCTAACTCACAACAAACTAAAGTGGACTTTGGGAAAGGAACGAAACTGCGTTTGCAACTATTAAGCATATTATCAGCCACGCGCCTGTACTCGATTATTACGATCCACCGCAGCCTCTAGAAGTACAGTGCGATAGTATCCAGAACAGAATAGACGCTGTTCTCTTACAGAATGAAAAACCTTTGTATTTCTGCGGTCGAGCACTCACCGTGACCGAGCAGCGCCATGCGTAGATTGAGTGGGTGATGCTCGTTGTAGTCTGCCATGGAGCGCTTCATCGATTATACATTCGGAAGAAAGACAACTGTGTATACCGATCACAAACCGCTTGTGTCGATAGCTAGTAAACCGCTGCACTTCGTTCCTCGTCGTCTTCAGCGTATGCTTATCCGGCTTTAAAAGTACGACGTGGATATTGTGTACACGCCTGGTGCACGCATACGTTATCAAGAGCTCATCTACAGGTACCTGAGCATAATCCAGAAGAGGTCGAAGTAGTAAACCTAGTAAAGCATCTGGCAGCGACGGAAGATCGTCTGAATGAAATAAGGTGCCACAAAGAGGAAGATGCAGCTTTGTGAGACGCCATTGTAAATGCTTGGCCAGAAACGAAGAAGCAGCAACCGAAGGAAATAACTTCCTGCTTCAATTTTCGGGATTAACTCTCCGTCTATGACGTTTTACTGTTCAAAGGAAGCCGTATTCTGATTTCGTCATCGCTCCGAGAAGAAATGCTGAAGTACGTTCGTCGCGCTCGCATGGGTGTCAACTATACGATTAACCGAACAAGAGAGTTGACCTTTTGGTCAGGAATGACGGATCAAATCAGAGAGCATATGTCGAATTGAGACATGCCGTTCACATGAAATCCGGCGGACGAAAGAACCAATGCTGCTGCATGATGCCCCTCATCGACAATGGCAGAAGGTGGCCGTGGATTTATTCTGTGACAACACGACAGATCACTTACTTACGGCGGATTACTAGTGATTATTTTGAAGCCGATTTTCTCATCACTACGACCACAGAAGCAGTAATCAACAGGTTCAGATGTCATTTCACTCGGCACAGAATACCGGAAGAGCTGGTTTCCGACAATGGTCCTCAATTTATTAGCGCTGCGTTCCAGGCGTTCGCGACCAAGTGGGAATTCCTGCACCAGCAAACCAGACCATATCACAGCCAATCGAATGGAAAGGCAGTGAGATAGGCCAAACGACTGTTATTAAAGGTTATAGTTCCTGGCAAATACCTGTACCTCGTGCTACTGGAGCACCGCAACACTCCTTCAACGAATATCGGCTTGAGCCCAGTACAGCGCCTATGCAGTCGAAGGGGTAGAACGCTGATGCCGACATCTGCCACGCTTTTGCGCCCAGTTTCACCACAGCATGAGAGGTTACGGAACAAGCTGAGACGGATGACCACCCAGAAACAGTTCTGCGACCGCGGTGCACGGCTGACGCCTGAGCTAACAGTGGGTGAGGAAGTGTGGGTTCAACCAGCACTCAGTGGTCAAGCACGGTGGAAGAAAAATGTGGTGTATGCGAAGGTCGGTGCAAGGTCGTGTGAAATAAATTTTTGCGGAAAGATGCTCAGAAGAAGTCGAGTGCATTTGAGAAGACACCGGAGATACCAATGTGGACTGGGAGTGGAGCACCCGATGGTGTGTGACAAGGAGGGTAGGGCCGCAGATACAACGAAGATGACGCGGAGGTGCAAGGTGTACGGGGTGTATAGCAATCTGGAGGTACAATGGGACACGAAAACAGGATGTGATGAGAGTGTGATACCAGATTGGTCGGATGGGCCAACCGAGCGAGCCAGTTAGCCAATGGGAGATAGGCGTAACGGATTTGATTTCTGGACATGGATTGACCGACGTTCATGAGAGTATTTCATCGTTGATTTAACTGAGTCAAAGAAATAACCTCATCACCTTAGAAGGGTCGTTAATTATGAATGCGAACGTGTAACTTATATCGAGTTTGGCTTACCAGATCTGCTGTACCTTTCGTTGAGTTAACTTTGCCGAATAAATGTTTTTCCCTTAATTACTGAGTTCTGCAACAGCTAGGAACTTATTGGTCTCTCTCGCCTCCCAGACAACATTCCACCCTATCCATCTTCCGATTGGCTCGAATCATCTCAGGGCATGGATCACAGTACGCATCAATGACGCGTTTGTTATCTTTGCTAATCATGGTAACGTGGCAGTGAATTCTGTTCAAATTGCTAATCTACTACCGTTGGTAATTATCGTTATTGGGTGCGATGAACTCAGCTTTTCTCAATAATCTTTTTGATTCCCCAAAATTTTCTTAGTCGACCCTGGTTGTTGTAGGTTTACGGGCAGACGAATGCTATTCATCGTTTCGGAACACTGGTGGATGCAAATCTATGTGTTTCGCGACTCATTGACATGTTAGTGGTTACGACAATCCCCGAGCAAGGACAACAACTTGATCACTTTAGAAAGTAGTCCGGCCCGGTAAATTCTTCAAGGGTTGCTTGAGGCATCTAGGCACCCCTGTCTTAAGCTTCGTTGTTCTCTACTACATGCTAGTGCCCAAATGGAGATGTGTTATATATGGGGAACGCACTATTGAACCATGAGAATTTACTAATCGTTTACCTCAACTGTGTCCACGAATTATTCGCGGTATACTGTCTCTACTTCTCGTGATTGGCGTGCATTCCGATATTGGGATTGTATAAAGACCTGCAACATCAAACTGGTTATTTTTTAAGGAGATTTCAATACAATCTATTATCCAATTCAGTGTATGTCGATTGATATCGACTGATGGTCACTGGTTTACTGGTACGTAGGTGCGGGGACCTCTCAGTATCCATAGCCCTTATTGCGGCACAATAACGGAGGCGTTTCTCAACTTTAGCTAACATGTAATGACGATCCCTAACCCGTGCGCGGCTAATAGTGTCTTCGTGGCTGCAGAGCGACTGTACGACGTACAAGCGTACTACTGATGCCACTGGAGGCTTACTCCGCCTATTACCTGCTTGCTACGTGAGGTTTCTGTCAGACATACTTGTGGTCTCGCTCACCACACGTTCGCTGAAAGCATCTCTTTCCTTTACTTTATTTCTTTATTTTCTCTGGTGTTTTCGGATTACACCGGCACTCCTTTTGTGGGCTGGTATCCTTGGGAGACTCGGCCACTGATAATTCCTTTTGCATGACTTGTTACAGATGGAGTATGTGCCCTTACCATGTTTTTTCTTTTGACAGCGTGGATTGCGCCTTCTAGACAGGTGTGGCCTAGAGGATCTCTGCACCAATCTGTACGGGCTTCAGCATCTCCAACCAAAGCTGCATGCTTGCAATCACCTTAGTGTTTCTCAACTGAATGAAAAATATTGTGCAGATCCCTGTGTGACACGCTCATCCTCCTTCACTTCACCTGCCCTCATCTCCCCAAGACGCTCAATTCTTCCAAGGGATAATTTTCACAGCGTTGACTCTCAAAAATCTGTCATCTCTTCTTCTGTCTACCCACACAAGGCGTTGGGGTGCATTGCCCGTTTTGTTTTGGCATGCAGCCTTTATGGTTCTTCCCTTCCCCAGGCTTACAGCCGATTCTCTTCACCATCTACTTCGCGAGGGCGTCCCTCTAACGAGCTATTCGCGGATGATCCCGGTACCAGCGTTGCTGCCACGCCCCGCCTTCGCAGTGCCGACTGGAAACGAGGTTGCTCTTCAAATTTAGTAACGCTGCTTTCATCCGTCCCCTCAAGTGGGCTGAAACGTTCATCTGTGGCCATCAATCGGCTCTTGGCTGGACGCTTCCTTCCTGGGCCAAACGGTTGGCGCAGTGCCTGGCCTCATTCATCCTGTTCGCCAAATTCTCAGGCATCTGACACTGAGGAACTCGCTCGATGGATATCTTGTTGGATCCGCTGCGGCGCCGTGATTGTTTTGGCTGAACTTCAACAGCCCAGTGGGGATACCATAATGAACAACTGTCACATATCGGATAACGACGGCGGGGTGTCCGAATTGGTATGGCAGCATCGGTTAGTATATGGAATCTCAAAGCAAAGTAAGTGCGCTCCCCTTGCCAGTTACCCTGTTTTTTACTCCCATTGTTGTACATTTTTGCAATTGTAGCTGGTAAAATTCCTTCTTAATTATTATCGAGATTGCCGTTACCGGGGTTTCATTGGAGTTTCCCACCATTGGAGCTATTCAGAAAGGTGACCAAACTTACTTTGAGTGTGCCGTAATCCTTTCTTAGTACGTCATTTCCTTTCATACACGCCATTTGCTAGCCCAAACTAGTCTTTACCTCCCACCCGTTGGAAACCGTTACTTTGTGAACCAAACCTCGTCATTAGAAGGTAGGCTGTGCTATGCCGCTTCGCGTTCCTGGCCAATCGAGTCGTCCGGTGTATAACAGGCACTTGATAGCGATCTGAGGAATCGCGTCTTCCTGGAAAGTTACCAATACATATGATTATCCCTCACTCTTTCCATTTGGAGGTGCGATAGATTTATGATGTCTGTTATGACAAATCATCTGAACGGGCCATTGCCTGAAACCTGCCATCAGCAACACTAGACCGCATCCAGATGTCGTGCATTAACGGCGCAGTCTAGCTCACCTCTTTCCACTTCTCTCGCCATTGGCTGAGTTACTTAACCTCGTTTGATGAAAGCGCTCCAAACACTTTGAAACCTGTTAGTTTTTCTGGCACATTACAATGGCACGTTTTCGTTCTCGGTTACTAGTTCCAGCCTCCTCCAGGCCAATATTTCATGAGGTATGCAGTACGGAGCACAGTTAAGGTAACTCACCAATATTTTATCTTGTTACTTGTGCTTCGTGGTCACATAGCCATAACAGAAGGGGCGACCCTACTGATGAAAAATGCAGGCTGGGCCGATGGGACACGTTATGTAGGACTTAAGCCCAGTATGCAGGCAATCAGAATGGATGAGTCTACGCTTTGTGAACATCGTGAGGTTGAAATCAGGGGGCCATCTTTTAAAGTAAAGCCCTATCGACAAGATATATTCTCTATGGTTTTCACTGCTGATTTTCCTAGTCGAAACCACAATAGTAACTACGTGTTCCTCAAACTTTTTGTTTGTTTTGTTTACTATAATATTGTTTACAATATAATAATAATATATAATAACATAACATTGTTTATAGTTACAATGTATTAATCCTTACCAAGTCGGCAGCGATGGTTGAACTTTGAGCAATAAGATCTCCTAGCACGACAACTCATATTTCATCGTGTTTCTTCCAATACTCATAACAGCGCAGAGTAGTGGCTACCGCATCAGGCCACACTGGTAGCTCGGATTGACTGTTCAGGTATTCATGTGCTCACCGAGTTATGCAGTTAGATTGAAGATGTTTTATCACCAGACGATGGGGCATCATAAGTGCGTAACAATCGGTAAAACTCTTCATGAATACTAGTCTCTATTTACAGTTCGGATGTTGGTACTCACAAGTTATTCCGATCATTTGCTCATATAAATTCTTCGATAAACGTGAACGGTTACGATTGGTCGTATATTTATTATTGCGACGTGTGTTGGCTAGTAGTTACCCCATTGGTACAATGACCTCATAACATATGTGATGGGTTTCCTCAGGTTGTCGCTTTGTTTGGTCGTACGCAGAGATTTTCCGTTTCCTTTCTGTCTGGTCTTTTCGTATACTTGATTGATATGGATGCACATATTTATGGCATTCTTCGCTTAGTACCATGCTTCGAAGAGCTCTCTTTTCACGTTACTCTGTATGTCATAATTTTTGTTTTATCCCCATCTAAACTATATCCTTCATCTGTGTGCACCGAAATCAAAGACTTGGCGTAATTCTTCTTGCAGGATCTTTGCTGCTGCTGTATTTTTTTGACAACTTCCTTCCTGTTTGCCCCACAGGATTCACGTCGCCATCTAACCCTGTATCTTGTACACATCATTTAGTCGTTCGTGGGATTCCGGTTTGCTTTTGGGTTTTGGCAGCGTTCTTCAGAGTAGCAGTTGGCTTGTGAGCCACTGTAATACTCTGTTGCTTGAGTAACCGGACTGTCATTTCAGATATGTTCTTTACCTAGAGCTGGACGACCCGTTTCGTTGTCTTTACTGTGCGTTGGGAGGTCGTAGCTCTTTAGCTCAGGCATCTCCGGATAAAACTGCTTGGATAGTCACTCCGTTGGAAGGATTTGAATGGGTGTTTCTACTCCCTTGACATTGCTTCCACAGTACCACAATGTGTCCCGATTATATGAATGCTAATTCTTTTTTTGTGACACTTTTGGCGGTTACTTTGGTAATTTGGTTTTGGTCTGTAAGCTGATGTTTGCCGCTCCCCCTCCACCATCCTGATGACTATCATGTCCAACACAGTGGAATCCTGTTATCTCCTGTCATCTCCGATCCCCCACGGCGAACTGAATGTCCTCATTGGCGTTGCTGAGCAACTGTTCATTGGTGCTTCCTCCACTTTACTACGTTTTGCTATCGCATCAGTACCATCGACGTACCATATCCATACTGTTCGGCTGATTGTCGGAAACAGATTTGCTTCCACTTTTTGTATGACGGTTTCTGCACAGAGTTCTGATACCGGAGATCTCATTGGCGTCCCTTTTGCTTACTCGTAAATTTGTCCATTGAAGCTGAAATAGGTCGTGAGGCACAGGAGAGGAGGCTTGCATATTCTCTGTGTTTTCATCCTCACGATTAGAGACAGTTCATCACAGTCCATTCTCAGTCAGCAGGCTTTGGCTAGTGTGGAACAACACGATTGTTTTTTGCACTCTTTAGTCGTTCCCTGATATTATATTTTGCCACTTGAAAGTTGGCATACGTAAAGAGAGCGATCACGTCAATTGATATCATTATTAATGAGTACTGGGGATTTTGGTGTAATCTTTATCGGGGTCTACTCGCATGCCTTTGCGCTTCCCTAGAAATTGCTGGGTATTGTTGATCGTGTGTTGCGATCCGCATGCTAAATGTTCGAGGTGCCTCCGTAATTCTCTCATTAATTTTTAAGTGACTGTGCCCGGGAGCAACACCATTGACGGTAATGGCGGGCCGTAATACTGTATGACGTTCGAGTCGCAGATACTAATCCTGTCGAGTTCCTCCTTTGTATATTTATTTTTGTTCTTGGAGCAGTATCAACGTGCGATTTTTTTATTCCTTTTATTCTTTGCTGGATACTTTTCGATACAGCAGTAGGTCGTTATACTATTCAAAAGCTATTACGCCTTCTCGACATAACTTGTATCATCCATTATTTTGGCCATTATTACGTTGTTTGCAGGCAGAATGATAATGAATTTGTTACTTTCCAGGGCATTTGTTGCATCCCCTCGCCAAAATAGGTGGTTGCACTTTTCGTTGCGTGCTATGACTGGAACGATTGCATATCCTAATCGCTTTTGGATCTCCTCATCAAACCCATTCGATCAGATTGTGATTTTGAATCCGGCTAGAAACCTTCGTCCTTTGGGTTCTAATTGAATCCTTTGATGAGGACCTGTTTCTCTCTATTAGTAAGATGTCGATGGAGCAGGTTTCTCACTAATCCGTTTCGAATATTCACGTTCGTGCAAGGCGTCAGTCACAATAGTTCTATGTTCCGAACTGCGACGTTAGAATCTATCTTTGGCAGTCCGATGAGGATGCAATCGTCCCTTATGTTGACTGACATGCTCGGTGTTCATTTGCTTTCTGAGATACAATGCATCAGGATCCATGCTAGGCCGGGAGCGGTTAGCTGTTCTGGATACTTTCTAGGTACTTAAAATTCAAATCCCTCTTTGCTTACATGTCAGATGAAGTCTTCCTCTCGAACCCTACGGAATTGGCTTCCGTGAAATATGTACTACAGCAGCTGTCTGTGCAAACCACTATACACCTCGAAAAACGTCACTTGGCTCAATTGTGGCATGAACACAATCGGTATCATGTAAACGGTTTGGATTCGTCACCTACACGACCGCTCATTGGCTCCATAACGCCGTATTGCTCTGGAGACTTTTCTGTGCTCGCTTGTCAACAGGACTGTCGTTGGAATGAAATGAACGTTTTGGGTAAGTGTCACCTCATCAGATTCGTTGCGTGCGCTATAACATCCCACTTGTTGTATACCCACAATCCCAACCATCGTAATCGACAGTACTAGCAACACACTAGGGCTTTGTGCACTTACTTGGTTACCACACACTGCAAGCATAGCACAAGTGCTTGTACAGCTGTAAATGGTAGTTGCCGAAGTGCCAGGCCACCGGTCCGGGTAATCTTGCAGTATGCAAGCCCTAATCCAACCACTGACGCTTGCGTGGTAGTCGATCGTCGTCACTTGATTTCGGTGCACTACTTATGGCTTTTTTCTCAGCGAACCACGTAGGTAATCCAAATGTCGGTTAAAACCTGCTCTATTGCGCCTATGCCACCGCTCCCCTTCTCCGCTCGAATAATGAATGAAGCTTCGAGTTACCCGATGGAAGTATGATAGTTGTCTACCACGAGATGTCATTTTTGAGTTGCCAGAAGTACTCTGAATCATCTTCTGACGAAGAACCTCAGAATTGGCTGAGAAGTCTGGTGGTTAGTGAGTGCATCATTGCTGTCATTGATCTCTATTTCAAAATGTTTTTTTACTCGTTGAGATTCGCAGTGCCTTTGCAAACGTTTCGTTACCAATCGAGGAGACAGCTTCACTGCGGAGCCGTATCAGTAGGGATAGCAATAGTAGCAATAGCATCGATAAAATGAGCTAAGCTTCGCACAAACCTATCTTTAGTTTTGGGATCGGATTAACGTACGCATCAACGGTACATGGGTACATACTCTACCGCCACTTCGCTGCTACGCGTACACCAACAATCACGTGTGGTCTGTGAGGTCACTCGCGTCTACACAAACTCGAACCGGCGACCCTATTCCTTTGGCCACTGGCTGATGTGATCACAATCGGTATCCTGTAAGACGTTTTGGGCACTGACTTGTCACTGACCTGAGCAGATTGACCATGTGGCTCTCTGCTGCCTCTGTCCACTTTACCTAGGGCAGAAGTTCTGCCTGTTAACCGATTGTCAAACATACTGTGTCTGGATAAAGTGACATAGTTCTCTACGGGTCTGACGCAGCTATTATATTTGCACTATTCAATAGACTAGTGACTTGTGAAGCTTTACACTTCAACATGCTGGCATCTTCAAAGCGCAAACTACTGCATGACTACGCCGACCCTCATCGTCAATCCCATTGGTGTACTTCTGTGAGCAGTTGTATCAGCTCCGGTGATCTTCCCACCGATAAAGTTACTGCACACCTTACGAAGACCTGTGTGGCTTTACAACGCCTCAGCCACTTGTTATGTATGCGTGATGTGATGTCGTCGGCAGAGGAAGGGGTTTGCTACCTTGCGTGGTAAGAGGCGTTACTGTGTTGGTCAAAGGTTTAGCCGCTGCCCATTGCGAACCTTGAGTAACCAATAGTATTTGATCATGGGTGCCAGCGAGCTAATGCTCATACCTGCTAGGAGAACGGGGTGAGTTATGCCGATGTTCATTCTCCGGTGTCTCATTCGATTGCGAGTTAAGCTCGAATCGCATTTGTCCTCGGCGGTGCACTTCGCATACCTGCCAGTCGAGTGCCTCGTCGTATGTTGTTTGTCATTATTACTGCTATTTAGGTGAATCCCCTAGAATTCCAGTCAGTAACATAGATAACACTCTAAAGAAGATTGTCACAAGGCTAGTTCGTGTTTTTTTATCGCCTTACTGAATAGAAACCTCTGGATCTGCCACATCAGTGGTTGCATGCCCTGTCGCATATGGTGCCGTCACGAAATTAATTGTTATCCTGTTCCCCCCTACTTCTGGTTTACCTACACTATCTGACTATTTTGGCACGTGTCCGTGCCCTTGCGATTATTATTATATTTATTATTATTATTATTATTATTATTATTATCATTATTATTATTTCGGCGTTGTACGTCTAGGAAGCTGGATTGACTACACCTCGACAAACGGACCTTACTGGATGAACTGAACTCAATTGTACTAATACGTACTTAGCGTATGAATGAAGCTCGTTTACTTCTGCGTATGAATATTGAGTAAATCGGGCAGCGTAGCTTAATGATGGTTTTCTAACACTGGCCAATATTTGTTACACCGCTGATGCTAGTGAAACGGCTAAACTTCCTTAGGATTTTAGTTTCTCCCACTTACTCTGTAGACCACGTATGAAAAGTCATTAGTATTAATCTAAATGATAGCTGTTTTATGCGTGACAGCCGATTCGGGATGCAAATGGAGTTCGGGGAGGAACTTATAATCTCACGTGGATTGGAATACGACTCAGATTCAAACATAGACTGGAATACGCTTGGACTCCTCAACTTTTGGTTGGAAAGCCCAACTGCTAGGTAACGGGATGTAGCAATAATGCATGACACTGACAAATTCTGCTGGAATGGATGTCATCTTGATCCCGATCCCCATTCAGTGGGACCAGAGAACTGAACTGAACTGGCCTTTAACCGTTGGCTAATATGGATGCCTAACGACACCAATCAGTACATTCCGATAACTCGGAGACCTACATGCAGTCATACTACTTTAAGGCCTATTCTCCTTGTAGCCGTCCGTTACTTTGGCAGTTTCGCGTTAATACACCTGTCCGTTGTTATTTAAACCAGCCTTTCATTACGCTACTGTCTCTCCAAACATCTAGGGGAAGTTCTTAGGCCGTAGTCACTTTATCCAAACTATATTTCTGAATGGTAATGAGGACGCCACGGATTTTTCAACCACTCCCTTCAACACCGCTTAGTGGGCAGCGAGATTTGTTTCAGATGGGCACGTTTCTGGTCATCTACATCTCATGTATGCATTGTCCCCCTTTACCAGCGCCTAGATGCTATTCACCAGCATCCTGTCCTCGCTTTTCATTCACTTTTGTAAATCGCACCGGTCAAAGTCAGGTGGGTAGGCCATGACCGTTGCTGCGCTATACAGTCATATTTCTCCACTACAGATAGCCGTGGGCCACTTCATTGCATCTGGTCTCTCCTGACAACTTAATTATGTTTTCGAATCTACTTACGTCTGTTTCTTGTACTCCGTAAGGGGCTGCGGAATACCTCTGGATGTGTGTTCATCACGGTGAATGAAGTCTGTCACGACTTCTGTATCACTCATCCTCTTTGTTCAACGTGGATTTTTCAGCTTGTGTAGCGATTCGGTGTTGTTGGGGTAGAGGCACGAGCAGGCCTTAATATCTTACTGCTACTAATGATCTTCATTCTAGAAAACTTCTAGGAGCAACATATATTTGTGAGTCGTTACAAACGTATCCTTACCAGGAATAGCAATCCGGCATGAACGATGAACTCCGCGATCCCACGGTTTCTTGCTCATCGTTCTCTAAACTTTCTTGCTTTTTGGCAGCCTTTCAATACATGTATTTCATGGAAATCTTCTGCACAGGCTCTCCATATGCTCCGAAATGCTGTTTCCATATTATGCTGCTTCCAGCTCATCACCTTTCTGCTCGATTTTCCTAAATACCTCTCCAATATACGTTTAAGTACTGCAATTTGTCACCTATCTGGTAGACGCATCGAACGCTGTGTGTTCTGTGTGTGTGTGTGTGTGTGTGTGTGTGTATTTTATGCCATTTTCACTGCCGAATTGTCCGAATCACACATGCTGCAGTGCATAATTCATATCGCCTAGTTCGCATATGAATAGCTTCGCCCACACTGTTCGCACAATATCACAGTGCCTAACGCGACCGATGACCTGGATTACGGCCCTTTCTTTGGATATCGCCATCTATTATCAATTCGTAGCCTGGTACTGCTCAGTCCATTACATCAACTAACACCGTAGACGCTGTCCCCAATGTATGTACTATATGCAGGCCTATCTTTAGCCTTCCCCACATTGTCTCTAAGATACATCGTCTCTGTTGTTTCCGCTCTACACTAACGTTTGTCGCCTCTCTACCCTAGGTCAAGTTTTGCAAACACTTCGGAGCGTAGAAAACGAAAAGTTTCAGAGAAGTACATGTTCCTCCGTCAACAGTTCCACCTCGGTGCACTCATCTCCCTCAGAAGAGGCTTGTCTATCCCCGACCATTGTGATCCCCTCGTCCCAGTCCCCTGGTTTCAGCGTGTTTCTGGCAAAATCGGATTGGAAGCTCGTGCATGCGCTGTATCAACCCGTGCGTCGATTTGACTAACTGATCGCATCTGAGATTCCCGACATGTGTGCCCATCTCACAGGACTTAACATGGGTTCGACCATCGTTTCACTGTCGTAATACATAACACATCCGCCGCGTCGATCTGAGGTACTTTATCATCACTCTGCTTTTGTCTTCCGATTGTGTACAGTACCTCATTTTGCTCCATTCAACCACTTACTTTCTCTGCTTTCAATAATCTCCGGATCTTCTGATTTACAGGTACCCCCACATGCTTCGTCCTATGTCGGTAAAACGGCATTCTCTTCCATTTTTTCCTACATGATCGACGGCTCTAGCAGTCTTCTTTATAGGATTTCAAGAGACTCTCCTCAAAGCTACTCGACTTAATGTTCTCGTCTTCTGTGTAAGAATTTTAAAAACTTTTGGTGTGGTCTTTCGCCAGTGTAGCTGGGCAACGTCTGACACATATGGGCGCTAATAAAGTAATTGTTTTATATTTTTCTGTAAGAGGCACTCACAATGTGCGCCTGCGGCTGCCGACGTTTTCTGATGGCAGTGTGCCGACAGGTGTTTTTCTCAACGAAGGTCGCTTTTGCTTATCATTAGGTATCCCAATATCACTCCACCCCAATTGCTACCGATGTTGCGATGTCACCCACTAAGTTCCTGCAGGGACGGTCCTGTGCTGCGCTTGCACAGGCAGTACGTAAGTCTACTTCGTCCTCAACAATCCTTTACTCAAAATCGATTCTGTACTCTGTAAATTATTGACATAGTGAGTCCTTGGTTTAATTCTATAGCTCTACACCGCCTCGCTTTATTGAGCGGTATCTAATACACATATTTACTCTCCGGTCTATACGCATGATTTCGTATTTCCACTCTGTCCCACGCGGTCGTACTGATCCGCCACTCTTGCCTTTTTGTGAGTTATCTATCACCACTTTGCTACACCCCATTGCACTTACACTCATTTGACTCGGAGTCATCAGCTCTACAAGGTGGGCAGACTTTCGCATTATTCTTCTCAACTTCTGATTTATGTCTGCGTTCGTTGCCGAAATCTACACGTGGAACACCGTTTTCGAGTACTTTTTTGTTTTTTGCACTCGTTCGAAAGCGTTTTTTTTTGAGGCAACGCTGCTGTTGCGCGGAAGACTTGCAGGAAACTGCTGAGCTCGACTGCTTATGATTATCAGGTTCGGATGGCGACCGATCAGACGGCGGTGCTTCCCGTCAAATAGTAACTCGTGTTGTTCCAAAAGACGGTCAAGAATTGGCGTCTGAACATCTGCGAGGAACGTTCATTTGCTGGAACATCGTAGACTTAAATTTAAGCGCGCACGATCGCCGATGGTGCACGTGAATGATTGTTCCGTTGGTTGCGCGCAAGGAATCAATAGCCTTCTAATTCGTTTTTTTTTGCCGCGAGGAAAAACGCTAACTTTGGCAGCAGTGTACACCAAGTGGCTTACTCCTGTTGATCGATCACCGATGAGGAAAATGCGACTATGTCTCTTACGTGTTGGTCGGCCACTACACTGTGACTTGCGAGAGAAAGCACGGAGTCTGGCGTTTTCACCAAATCTTTTTTGGTGCTAGTGATGGGTAGACGGTGATCCAAAGAGTTTTGGAATGTGACGAATGGAATAGACTACTGGAATGATGCCTTCCGGTATTCCATGAGGCTACAATTTTGTCGAATTCTTTAGTCAGCGTAGTAACGAATGGTGCCAGTTTCGTCATGCTGTCTTCTGGGGTTGACTGAACTTGTGTGGTTCGGCCGTAAGATTTTCAGGTACGGTCGGCTAGCTGGGGTAGTGGCGCACCTACATTAGCCTATAGGATGTTAAAGATTTCGCATGGGACGCAGCGAAGCCCCAACTGAGAAACGAGTCGTCAACAGTGATAGGCTTTGCTTGACTATACATTTTACTCATGAACTGAGATGGTTTCAGATCAGCTAACTCTGTTTAGCTAAGCAATTTCGTGACGCGGTCACGGTCTGACATGCCACTTCGTTTTAAAACGGCAGCCTTGGTCTACTCGTAAGTCTTCTGTGATTTGAGTAGCTTTAAAATCTCATCGGGATCATCGTCTACTTGCGGAGGAATTGCTGCTACAACGTGGTGGACTTTGACATTCTCGGATTTGGCATCACGCATCGAAAGGCTAGACTCAAGCCGAGCGAACCAAGTTTTCAGGATACCTTCACGTACACGCGGAATTGGTGCGATAGCCACTAAAAAAGGTGTCGGCGTCTAGATATTTAATGTCCATAGCGAAAAATTTGCAGAGTTAGCTCAAATAAACTTGTCATTAAAGAAAAATAGGAAAATGAGCAGAATGTACAGCGAAATATGATAAAAAGCATTCAACGTGCGACAGACTTCCTGATTTTCCTGGAATTAAATGAAACGATCATTTGGCAAAATTTAGCACATCATACGGAGGAATCTCCATATCGCTGCAGTAGGCCTCCGCTAGGTTGGTTAGACTGAAGGTTGACTGGCAAGCTAAAGCTGAAGTCAAGTCGTGCTTATAAGGGATGAGGTAATTATCCACAACGATAACTGTTGAATGCCCTGTAGTCACCACAGGGATGCCAGTCACCGGATTTCTCCCTTGCCAAATACAATGGCAGCGCCCTTGGACTGGCGGACTACCCCAAATTCGAGTATTTGCTCAAACTCCTTCTTAGCTGCTTTGCGTTTTTCCGAAGCTAGTCTGCAAGGACGGGCCTAAACGAGTGACCCTCAGTGCAGAGATGATGCATGACGTTTGACGTCAAGGGAAGTAGGTCATTCTAAATATGAGTAAGCTTAGGATGCTTCTTGTACGTCTATGAGACGCTGTGAAGCCTGAGTTAGGACACTAATGACTGATCGTGGTCACGTTGGCACTGGTCCCGATAACACTGAGCTGCGTCAAAGAGTTCGTTAGCTTCTGCCTTTTAGCATCGACGATATGATCAGTGACTATGATGACAAAAGGCACGGTTGCAACTGTGAAGACCATCGAAACGTTCACCTAAGGCCTAATTTGATCGCTAGCAGCTTTGCGCCGAAAATTGCGATTGGTGTGTCAGTAGCGGCACAATCCGGTCAGCTAGGGTAAGGCCGCCTCATCTGAGTTAATGGTTTGATGCTGATCTCGCATCCCGTGATTCCCTAACACGGATGGGGCGACTTTGGCCTTAGCCAGTCGCGCCCGTCGCCATCACTTACCAGCCGAGACGTTTCTCTGGTTCTCGGCGAAGTTGCAAGACTGAACGCATTTGCGAGTTGTGTTGCCAAACTGCTGGTGTTACCAACGGTTAGATTATTAGTGATAGTCCTGGAGTGTCTGAAGGGTGATTTTGGTTGGATGTAACAGTGACGAGTCGTAGTGAACTGTTGGACTTGGCGACTAAGTGTCGCAACTTGTACTTGCATGGCATCTGTCATTGATTATAAGCTGTGATAGATGTGCCCTGGGACGAGGCGACGTCAGCTTGTAACTGTGATTGGTCGATGACTCATTCTTTCAAATCATCTAGTTGGGTGATCTAAACGGTACATACGTTGGCATCATCATTCATCATTATACACTTTAGCTAGAGGTGGATAACATAGCTATGGTGTTCCAGTAAGAAAAGTAATAAGCATGGAATAGAGGCACGTCGGCTAACACCAGTAATGGGTTGACATCATCCCGGAGAGCTAACAGCTGGCTATTGTGCCGCAAAAAGAGTTACACTGTGTTTAGTAAATGAGATCGTGGTTATAGGAGGAGGGACGGATAGAGGAACTCACAACATAAACGCCACTGACATCGGCTCATTGCCATGCCAACAGGTGTTCCAGCCACACGTGCTCACCGTCTTTCAGACCCCAACCAAGAAACAGAGACTCCAACGGAGGCCAACTTCGTAGCAAGAGCTTTCATTCCTATTGACTAATTCATCACTTGGCCACCCTTCTTCCATCCACACCCTCTCCAGCAAACGACGCTTCTGGCATAAGCCGGTGGGCTGGCAAGCGCAACCCATGGCCTAGCCAACGGAGCCTAGTGCATGATCTAACTGTGCTGAGTGGTTCACTTCTTACTGTGCCATAAACAGGGTACCGAGCACACTCATTGCTCACCAGGCGTCCCCACCAGATATGAGTCAATCTGCGAAGGCACCTGTGATTGAACGTATCTGGCCTCTTTATGTCGGTTGATCTAATGGGCCAGATTTCACAACCGTACAGTAGGATCGAACCTACGGCTGCATTGCACATTCTGCCCTTCCGAGAGTGGTGTCGCACCGGCGCCATAGGTAGCAAAGATGAAAGCAAGCGCCTGGTACTTTTGCTATACCTTTTGACGTCGTCTTTAATTCCAATGCCGTTAATACGGTTGCCTCGGTAGTTGAATTTCTGAACGACTTCTAGTTGCTCTTCACCAAGGATCAGCACAGGGGACGGTACCTGTCATTCTTGGCAAAAAAGAAATGCATCAGCAATGCACCGGTACTCAGTACCCACGGTTCGTTGCCGCGCAACCACCACCGGTCTCACGTGGACTAAGGCTACTGCGAGGGTCGCCCTGCCCCTACCCAAGCTCGAACCCGCGCCATCAGGTTACAGGACAAGCTCGTTCCTTTAAGCCACAAAACAAAACCCGAAACTACTGGCAGCTAGACCTAATTTATTTCATGCAGCTTGGCATCTTTGTAAGCTGTCACAGATGAGCGCAATATGGTCAGCATATTCCAAGTCAAGAAGTCGTTCACCTGGGCGCAGCTTCATCCTCTACAAGTGGTGTCCAGTGAACGCGACCTATATGACTTCGTCAATAGCGAAGTTGAAGAGAATAACTGACTGCTGGAGACATTGAAGTGCAGTGACAGATTGCTGTAGACCCTCACTCTGCCCAAGCTACACGCGTAAAGCGCTCAGATAATATTTACAAACTTATCGGGCACACCTTTCCTTGGGAGGCACTCCTACAGGGTGCATCGATCCGCCAAATCAAAGGAACCTCTAATATCGAGGACCTTGATGGTGATCCAACGATTGACGTATAGTGAAGATGTGGTCGATGCGTGCTTGCTTCTCAAAGATCTGACCTTCGAGAGTGCAAATAAACCATTAATGCATGACAGGAAAGCAGTTTGGAGACGATGGGGATCAGACTGATTCCTCTATGATTGCCGAATTCCAAACGTGAGCCTCCCTTGCATTTCGGGACAATAACGGAACGGCTCTAGGCGCTTGGACAGCTTCTTGCTTCCACAGTGTCACTAACAAATCGTGTAAATCATCCACAAGAGCAGGGCTAACGAATGTGATGAGGGCGGGATGGAGATCTTGAGGACCCGCGGCCATACTCAAATCTAGTAATCCGATCTCATGTTTGACTTCGGAGAGAGTGCGGATCCAAAGGGACAGTCCAGAGAGAGGGGCGATCACTGGCCAGTGAGGAATCTAACAATTTTAGCCGATCAAATTGCCTTTCGAAGCGCTCTGCTCAATGCT